TGTGTGTGTGTGTGTGTGTGTGTGTCTGTGTGTGTGTGTGTGTATATGTGTGTATATGTGTGTGTGTGTCTCTCTGTGTGTGTGTCTGTGTGTGTGTGTGTGTATATGTGTGTGTGTGTGTGTTGAGAGTGTTAGCGCTCTGTTTGAGCAGCACACACTAATAATGGGCAGTCAGAGACTCTGTGTTTCTCACAAGGTCACAAACGGAGCAGAATCTCGGTGACCCCGCGACCCCCGTCACCGCTCTCGTCTCTCTCTCTCTGAAGCTTTACTCTGAAGATCTGCCAGACCTGTTTAGGCCGTGAACTATTCCTTTACTGTTTTTGAACAAATCTTTTAGAGGAACACTACAAACTTTTTATCCTCGTTTTTTCACCAAAACTATTCTGACATTTAACCCTGTAAAATAATAGTCAGGAAAATCAATTTTTTTAAATGTTTGCATTCGTGTTTTTGTTGAGCATCATATTTGATCCATCAGGTTTATATGTCTCGTATAGTCTGATACAGTGAGAAGACCGTGTAGATCAGAGACAGAAGCATGGAGGAGATTGAAACAGGTTTAACAGCCTGTTTTGATCCTTTAGAGGCCTTAAAAGTGAGTGCATCAGATAAGATAGGGTGTGTTAAAGTATCTCGTTGGGGTTAGTGCGTTGCCTGATTTAAATGGTTTTGTTCACTATCAGAGCATGAGTGTCTGAGCATTGAGCTCTTCCTGTGACTCAGGCAGCACACGTCCATTTGGCTGCTTATTCTAAGAAGTTTATCATTAGTCACAACCTTTATTTTCATGCCGTTCATCATCATCTGAAGATTGATAAGCAAAAAGCATCACATTTTGCCTTTTGTGGAGGAATCAAACGTGGGCTGCTGGAGTTTTCTAGAGGAACACGAGGCACTGATTTCAGAGCGGGTCGGATCTCTTTCTCTTCTCTGAGTGTAATTAACACTTTCACACTGAGGTCGTCCTGTCGTGTTGCAATCAGTGTTTGTTTTAACAGCGAATCCAAAACCCAAACTGACACCGTGTGGAGTTAAACGGCACTTCCTGTGAAAACACCGGCTCTGTGTCACGAGGGGCCGGAGGAAAAGCCCAGCAGCCAGAGCATCAGGTTAGTACATGAACTGAAATTAGTCCAATTGACCTGCGTGCTCCAGCGACAATTACCTCAAATCGCAAGCAGATGCTCGTCGCTCTCATTACATATTCTCATACATCTGGCGCTCGGCGCTGAGGAGAAGTGTGTGTCTGTGGCGAGTGTTGAGGAGCGCACGAGATCGAGTTTCAGCGCCGGGGCGGTTTAATCTGAAGCCAGCAGCTCTGGAGGAAGATCTCATGCTGTGAGCTGAAGAACATGTGAGAGAGTGTGATTGTGGGTGTGTGTGTGTGTGTGTGTGAATAAGTGTGTATATGAGTGTGTGTGTGAATAAGTGTGTATATGAGTGTGTGTGTTTTACTAAAAGCAGAAAGTGATTGATCAGCTCTGTTTCTGTTTGAAGATGGTAATTGCTGCAGATCCTCCAGAAACAGGATTTTCCCAATTAATCACATTTACAGATTAGACTGCTCTGATCGATCATCACATTTATGCCCTGCCAGATCAATACTAATATACTTATGCTAATAGCTAGAAATCCACTTTTAGCTCCACACATTGATGCGTGTTGTGTGTCATATTTCTGCTCTGTATGAGTGTTTGTGCGTCCGGTCGTGTGCCGTGGGTTTCAGAGCTTCTGTTGGGCGCTAATGGATCCCATGTGCTTTAGATTCCGTGACAATGGGCAATACACCAAATATTAGCACTATTATTGCAGTATCTTTGCTGACGATATAAAATTAGATAATATGAACTTAGGAACGCAGCAAATTCTGCATGAACGTGTGAACATGTCTTCTACATTCGTTTGCGTATGAGTGGAAGTTAAAGTGTGAATAGTTAGAGTCTGAATAGATCTGTGCAATAAGAGTAAATGCAAACTAGAGCTGCTGCTTATTCTGTTTTCTGTGTATTTGTTGTTGCAACAAGCATGACTTTTTGTAAGAAGTTTGCAATTTTTTGTATTTAATATTTTTATAAAGCATATTTTTATATTGGTAAGTAAATACGATTTTAAATGTTTCTTTTGTTAATTTAGTAAAAAGCAATAAGCGGTCACTGTCTTTAATTTTTTTAATTAGGTTTGATTTTGCATTAAACAATTTGTATGTGCTTTGAAACAATAGCTGGTCTGTCCAGATCACGTCTTTTTCAAAAAAATAAATGTGTACATGAGCAAATGCACAAAAATATTGAGATATAAAATGAATGTGTAAACAATTCCTACTTCAGACCTGTGCTGAGACGCTTGAGTGCTGCTGGGAAACATCTTCATCTGCACACCCGTGTGTGTGTGTGTATAAGAGTGTGTGTGTGTGTGTGTGTGTGTGTGACCCCTTGAGTCTCCGGGTAACTGACCCTTTGGCTCAGTGGCCACAACAAAAGCACTCACACACATTCACTCGGTTGTCGTGTCTGTCTGTGTTCTGGTCATCTGTTCACTCACTGGTTAGCAGACGCTCACTAGTTCTGCAGGACTGATGTAATGGATCGTGTGTCTCATTTACTGTGGTTAATAGATGTGAGTAAAAACACTGAATTTGGGCATATCTGGACACGTTCATGTGTCTTCAGACCGTTTAATCATGTTTTTTTCTCTGCAGTGTGAGAGACTGAAATTCTCTCATTGTTTGTGTCTTAATTACTAATGGTGCGTCTTTTCTTCTTTCACTCTTTTCAGGCCGTTACTGAGGTTTGTTCCTAATGCGGCTGCAGACGAGCTGCTTTCACAATGAGATTAACTGACCCTCAACACACACACACACACACACTTCATTGAGCCGTTAAGAGCATTACTGTGTGTGTGTGTGTGTGTGATCCACGGCTGATCTCATATTTGTGTTGCTGAAATTAATTTGATGCCTCTTTACATGTTAATCTGAGAGGGATTGATTTCTGCTGAACAAAGACGAGAGAGAGCGAAAAGAAAGCCTGAGAGGTTTCTTGTAGTTTTTTTTTGTCACGTTTGTTCAGGGTTTGTGTGTCGTTTCTCTCTTTACCAGAAGCTTTGATCTCGGTTCTTCTTGTATTGTGTTTTTTCGCTGCATTGAACTCGTTTCTAGCGTCGTGTTCCAGTTGAGCTTCAGAAAAACTCGAAATAGATGCTGAATTCATTTTTGTGATTCTAGATTTAGTGTGATTTGTGTGCCGTAACCTTTTATTGTGTATAAAATCTACATGAATGAGACCAAAATATATGAGTGACACGAACCATATTTACACCTTTCCTTTCTCATAAAAGAATCGGGAAAATAAATTAACCCCCCCCCACACACACACACTCACACACTCGCACTGACACACACTCA